TTGCAATCACTATGTATTTTGAACAGTGTCTGACACATAAGTGCCTATCTATATTGGGGTGGGTGGTTAATAAGTTTGAAGAAATACTTGTGAACACACCCTACACAGAGAGCAGTGTCCAGACTGGGCCGTCAGAGGCTGCCATTGCTCCGGGTTCACAGGAGAGCAAAATCTGTGGCCAGGACACGGGCAGCCAGTAAACCTGACAACAGCCGGCTGAACAAGTGTGACACCTGACCCTCAGGACCCTTACCCCTCTGCGTCGTCGTGGGGCTGCTGCTGTCCTCACTCCAGGCTCCTTTCTTTCTAGTCTCTAAAAGCCCAGGGGGCCCTGTCAGGGGAAAAGTCAGGATGCCTCCCCTTTTTGCTGATTCACAAATGGTAGAGAGTCTGACACCTTGACCGGCTGCATCTTTCGACCCCTGACACTCCTCCCTTCCCTGAAGTGGGGAGAATCCTCTGTCTGATATGCCATGGGTCCCAGGCAAGGGCTTGAACCCAGGAAGGTCCACAGGGCTTTCTATTGCTCCCAAGCTTGTCACTGACACCAGCAGTGCCCACACACTGACATCCCGACCTGGGTCCCTGAGGAGTCTCCTCTAGGTGCAACGTCCCACATCAAGTTCCCAAACCTGTTTGAAAGTGGCATGCACAGATACAGCAAAACCGGAACCTTATAAGGGTGTAGCTGACACACAGGTGAGTCAAACTGTGTCAGGCGGTTCTCAACGGGCCCTCGGAAGGCAAGGGCCCAGCACCCGTGGGGAGCCTGGCCGGGAGCCAGCGCAGCAGACGGAAGGGCGTGTCCCTGCAGGCCAGGCCAGGCACCCAGCACCCTCAGCCAGAGGCAAGATGTGGGGACCAGGGGACACACCGACTTACAACACTGTCACCCCAGCCCCTCTGGCACTGAATGGACAAGCAGCTCCAAAGCCCAATGAAAACAAGAAAAGTAACAGAGGAAAGGTGCAGGGAAGAAACAGACTTACCCACAGCCAACAGATGTAAAAAGTTTCAGTTCACTAACACCTAAGACACAAATTAAAACCAAAGGACAGTGTTTCACTAATCTAACTGGGAGAGAATAAGAAAACAGAGTTTTGGAGGGACGGGGAGGGATGAAACAGGGCATATAACTTTCTATAAGAAAACTTAGCAATATGTATCCAAAGCCTTCACCCAGCAATTCCACTTCTAGGAATTTGTCCTCAAAAATAATGAGAGTTCTGAACTGATTTAACAGAATCAGGATTCTTTATATACTTTATATATTTATATAAAGATTTAAATAAAAAGATGTTATTCACAGCATCGTTTATTATAGAAAAAATTGGAAATACAATATTGGTTAAATTAATTATGGCTTAAATGTAAGATGGAAAATAGTATGTAGTCATTTTAAAAATATGTTTTCTAAAAATATTTATGACAGGAGAAAACATTTGCAATATACACCGTGAAGTTGGAGAGGGAAAGTACAACATGCCTACAAAATACAATCCTGATTCTGTAAAGCAAAGACGAATGCACACATTCTGGATATAAAGGGTCAGAAGGCCGTGCAGCAGCCCTAAGCAGTGGCTCATCTTTGGACCAGAAAATTAACCCGCCCACCCACTCCCCACCCCTGCCTAATAAGGTCTATAATGACAAATGTATTTGTTTAATTTCCAAAAAGGCCTCCAACATTAGTTAAACAAGTTAGTGAAAACTGTATTAAAGCCTCCGGTAGTGTTATTCTCCCCCAAACACAGTAGATACGCCCTGTGAGTGTAAACATGGTCCTCCGTCCCTACTCTGAAAAGTACCCATGTGCGAGCACTGTGACCAGGGCCCTGGGACGAGAGAAGCGCAGAAAAGGGGTCAGAGGACAGAGGAGCCTGCCTGCTGGGTAGAAACATGGGATGGACTTATAGGAGGGTCTTCAGGAGAGAGAAGACTCAGAGACAGCATTTTGGGTGGGGCCAGGGAACATGGATGAGACCATTGAGAGACCCAAAATGGGGCTCCAACCAGAGGGTGGGGTGAGGGTGCAGCACCCTGCTGAGATAGGATAACTGTGTTCCTTCACTTTCTCAGGCTACAAGGAAAGGCACCGTTGAGAGTTCTCCATGGTACTGTGTTGCTTCCTATCTTCTCCTCAAATGACAACTCATCACCAATTGCTTTGTCCCCTGCAGACTCTCCCAGCACTGGCTCTCTTGCTACCCTCTGGTGGGCCACGACTTGCTCCCCCAAATACCTGCAAGGCCCCTCCCTCCCAAGTAAGCGGAAAAACAGTGGCCCCACAGCCAGAACTAGGGAATCACAAGTATTAAGGCAGAAATGTTTGGGGAAGTGTAAGAGGCTACATGATGGGGGAGAGCCACCAGGTCAAGAAATAATGTCCCCAAAGCTCTAGGAATTGACCAGCTGTGACAGGTGGCTGACCTCAACTATTTTGAGTGGATCAGAGATGGTTTTCAGACCCAATATCCTGAAATGCAACAGAATCCTGACCTGCAGACTTAACTCTTACAACGTGGGTGCTGAGCAGTTTTCAAAGTGCTTTCTCATGCATCGCCTCATTGGGTCTGAGGAGGTAACAGAGCAGGTACCATGCCCATTTCACAGATGAATAACTGAGGCTCAGAAAAGTTAAACAACTTGCATGAAAGCTCACAGGGTGGTAGGTGGCAGAACCATCTGGATTCAGCTCCACTGGCACCAGTTTCCTCACATACAAACCCAGGTGTTAAGGTGCTGCTGCATTTAGGTTAAAGTCATCACTGCCTTAGTGGTTTGGCTCAGTGGATAGAGCATCGGCCTGTGGACCAAAAGGTCCTGGGTTCGATTCCGATCAAGGGCACGTACCTCTGTTGCAGGTTCCTCCCTGGCCCACCCTGGTTAAGGCGCACACAGGAGGCAACCAATCAATGTGTTTCTCTCACATAAATGTTTCTCTCTGTCTTTCCCTCTCTCTTCCATTCTCTTTAAAATCAATACAAAAATATCCTCGGTGAGGATTTTAAAAATTAACAAAGACATCACTGACATAGAGTTCTGCCTCCTGTACTTTGACAGCAGAAGTAAAGGCTCCTGCAGAGATGGATTCCATGAGAGCAAACATTTACTAAGAGGGTCAGTGGGAGGGTGAACGCAGAGGGAAGAGCCTCGTGTAGCCTCTGTACAAACAGCAAGGTGAGGCCATCCCCTGAAAGGGGCGGGGGCTGTAGAACCAGACAGCCTAGTGGGGCCCACTTGGTATGGTCCTTCCAGGAGTGCTCCCAAATTCAACCAAACCTCTGGCTCTGCCACTCACCTCCAGGGGAGCATTCACTGCATCTGAACTTGAACTCAGGATCAGGGAGGCAGGATGCACCCCACTGGGCTGCCAGCACACCCACACCCCCAGTGCCCAAGGAGAGGCTAAGACAGACCCTTACTCTCCAACCCCCAGCAGCCTGCATGGACAGGAAGTCCAGAAGAGCTGGGTAAGAACTTTGGGAGGGCATTGCCTCCAGAGGGATCCTGTGCACCAGGCAGCGCCCCCCTCTGGCCCCGCCCGTGGGACTGAGCGTGGGGAACGTGGCTAGTGCAATCCAGGAATGGCATTAGCGTTAGTGTCACTCAGTGCACACTTAGAATCAAGTAGCCATGTGAAGGGGCAGCAGGAGGGACCTTGTGACAGTGCTGGTGGTGACAGGAATGTGCACACGACCTCCACGCGTGCCAATGGGTCCTCTGAGGTCCTGGATGTGACACTGGCTACAAGAAGTCACTTTGAGGAGTCTCTGTATTTTATTCCACAACAGCTTGTGAATCTACGATGATCTCAAAAGAAAAATTTTAAAAAATGAAACACCACACTGCTATTGTAGTGGACAATGAGCTCAAAAAGCCCGATTCCCACTGAGCTAAAGAAATGGACAATATTTGGAACTCCTACTCATGCCTGCGGGTTCTTCTCCCACAGGACTCAGCGGGCACATTTGATTTGGGGGGTGGGGGCACTCTGCCAAGCTAAAGAGCGGATGGGTGGAGGTGAGGACCACGGAATCAGCACTGGGGGGAAGGGTGCGAACTTACTGGAAACGAGGGGTTCATAGAAAATCTGTAAGACTGAAGATGAGAATGAAATCCTGCAACTCACTGCAGCTTCGAAACCCCCAACCCCCTTCTTCGGCGGATGTCCTGGAAACCCTACACCAGAGGATCCCCCTAGTCGGCAGGGGCGCTGGTACAGGGACCGCGGGACTTGTCTCCCCAAAGGCCCAGCCAGGGTGTACGCGCCCAGGGCACCAAGGGTGCGCGCAGGTGGGGATCCGAGCCCACCCTCCGGCCCCGCCCCTCCCACCAAGCAGGCTGCTTGGCCAGACTTGACCGCGGGGAGGGGGCACAGAGAGAAAGAACAAGAGGGCCGGCTTCCAAGCAGCAGGCAGCGAAAGGCCCGAGGGGCCCCCTTCTCCAGGACCCCGAACAACTGCAGCTCCGCCTCTGCCCGAGGGGTCCCCCATCAAGACCATCGCAGACAAAAGCGTCTGGGCGAAGGAGCCGCCTCTGCAAAGTACAGAAGCGCCAGATCCTATCAGCCAGGAACCCAAACGCGCACTGCTGCCCGCAAGTTCGG